AGTAAAGAAACGTATAAACCAGCGGTGTAATTTCAGGCAGGTCAGATGGAGGAATCCCGACAAACCGCACCTACAAAAATCGAACATCCAACTTACTTTCACTACAAAAAATGTATCAAAATAGATCGGGATTAGAATTGTCATCCCGGAAGTGATATACTAACGGTCTGTGCAGTGACCTTCACACTCTGGTCATTCTTTTATACACTATCTATGCATATTTTTTCTTTGGATCCCTTGATATGAAGGAAAAACACTCTTTTTTTATCATAACGTGCGAATTAATGGGCGTCCACAAGTCCGTGCCCTGCTTAGCGCCTAAGCGAATCCCTTGGCGACTCATCACACCTCCGTCGGCCTCCCCAGCGGCCGGCCGGCCGGGCACCTGCGCTGCCACTTTGCGCCGGGCGAAAAACGGCCAGCGCAATTCAATGACCAACAGCCCTTTCTTCCTCGCTTACTTTTTCTCTTCCATTATAATCCTCGCGGGGCTGTTCGTCTTTTTTACGGGCTGATGAGCCCATACAAAGCGCGGGAGAGAAGACTGCGCGGAGAAGCAAGGGTGTTCTTTTGATACAGCACGAAACGCAACCCCTGCCCGGCCTACCTGCCCCTCTCTTAAGCGCAAGATATGAACAACCTCCTCCTATATAATCTGCGAACTCCCTTTTCAGAGAGACTGGGGATGTGGGGGGGGTGGGGGTAGGGTGAGGCGCTCTGCAGAATGGCGGACGGCGGAGGTGAGATACATTTGGCGCCGCCTATTGAGAAAAAACGTAATTACACTTCCCGCTCTCCTCATTCACACGAGCCGGCGGCGGGCCGGCGCGGCGCGCGCCCTTGACAAAAGAAAGCCGAAACGCTTGATCACGCGTTATCTATTAATCTCGTGCGCGGCGCGGGTTCCTTGGCCGTGCGCGCGCACGCGTGTCGGGAAGACACGTGTCCCGTGCGTTAGTCACTTGCGGAGGACTCGCTCGAGCGAGGACGGAATCGCTCGGCGCAGTCAAGTGGGGCTGCGCGCGGGTAGGGGGCGTGGTTAGGGTTCTTGAGGACCGTGTGGATTGAGGATCGGGGTGTTCTTTGTTTGTTCAGCAAGAAGTATGTGAGTAACCCTGTCGGAGGCGATTTTCAGTCATCTTTGTGAATGACGTAATCGTTTGGTGTTACTGGAATTTCAATTTTTTCCCGCCGATTCTTAATTTTTTGTCAGTGGTTTCATCTTTATTGCGTACTACTTTTATTACTTGCGTATTTTATATATTTTTTTCTTTTAAAATAGAATACTTGTTACGAATATTATTGCCATATTGCCATCTGACTGGAATCTGAATGTTTCGTGCTTCTTATATTATTATAACTTTTTTCTACTTACTGTTTTCTTTTC